GTTCTCTTCAGTGCAAATGCGGTGGTATCTGTGGGGTTGGCTGTATATCACAGCTTTTGTGGTGTGTTTAGGGTGATTGCTGGTTCTGTGCAGATATGTATGTTGGTCTGTGGATTTCTTGTATAACGTGGTCTGTATTTTATCATTCTGAATACTGATCATCGTGTCTAAAAAGTTGGATGAAGGGATGGTGATTGTTGAATTTCTGATGGAACTCAGTCAGAGTTTGTAGGTTTTCAGTCCAAATGATGATGTCATCGATATATCTTAAGTACAGCAAGGGTTTGATGGTGCAGTTCTTGAGGAAGTCTTCTTCCAGGTGGCTTATAAAAAGGTTGGCATACTGTGGGGCCATTTTAGCGCCCATAGCTGTTCCCATCATCTGGAGGAAGTGTTGATTATTAAAAGTGAAATTGTTGTGTGTGAGGATGAAGTGTATAAGGTCAGTAATATCTTTGGGTCTGTATTCTGAGTTGTATCCTGTAGATATGTAAGGCAGGCTTGTATGCCATCCTGGTGTGTGATGCTGGTATACAGGCTGGTAACATCCATGGTGGCTAGGAGTGTGTTGCTGGGAAGGTGGTCTATGTTTTTAAGTTTCTGTAGAAAGTCTGTAGTGTCTTGTACAAAACTTGCTCTGTGGGAGACGAGCGGTTTTAGGATTGATTCAATGAAACCTGATATTTCCTCAGTTAGGGTCCCATGGTTGGATATGATAGGTCTGCCAGGGTTCCCTTGTTTGTGGATTTTAGGGAGCAAAATTTTATCATTTAAAAAAAAATCATTTAAAAAAATTTTTTTTTGGATTTTAGGGATTTTAGGAATGGTCCCTGCACAGGGACCAGCAATCACCCTAAACACACCAAAAAAGCTGTGATATACAGCCAACCTGGCAGATACCACCGCATCTGTACTGAAGAGAACACCCGGGATTGCCACCTCACCAATCTTAAAAAGGCTTTCACCCAGCAAGGACACTCCTCCAGAGAGGTAGATCGCACGTTTGAAAGAGCCACCGCAAAACCTGCCCCCACATCTCCACCACCCCCACTATTACTACACCCCACAACAGAGCCATCAGCATCCCAGGATCTTACAGCTGCACCTCCAGGAATGTAGTATACCTCATCCAATGCACCAAATGCCCTGATGGAAAATA